CTCACCACTAACGGGCGGATATCACTACCCGTCTTCAAAGGCTGGCCCATGGACAATCATGGCAACTATATTGTAAGATTAGGTCATCTAGTGAAATGGTTGGGTGAACAAGCCGAAGCCTTAGGTGTTGAAATTTACCCTGGCTGTGCGGCATCTGAAGTTCTATTCCATTCCGATGGCAGTGTAAAAGGTATTGCAACCAATGATGTGGGTATTGCCAAGGATGGCTCACCAAAGGACACATTCGCGCGCGGCATGGAACTACACGCGAAGACAACGATATTCGCTGAAGGCTGTCGGGGGCATCTGAGTAAGCAGTTGATGCAACAATTCAAGTTGAACGAGGGTAGTCAGCCGCAAACGTACGGTATTGGCTTGAAGGAGATATGGGAAATACAGCCCGAGAAGCATGTGTAAGTATCAGTGCAGAAGAATACCGAAAAGTCACATAAATTATGATTACTCTAAATATTATAGACCCGGTTTGGTGGAACACACAATTGGTTGGCCCCTCGACTTCCGCACATACGGCGGTTCCTTCTTGTATCACTTGAATGAACCCACACCAACTATCGCAGTGGGTTTCGTGGTTGGTTTGGATTACAAAAATCCCTGGATTAGTCCCTTTCAAGAGTTCCAGCGTTTCAAGACACATCCCAAAGTGCGTTCCGTCTTTGAGGGCGCAACGCGTATCGCGTATGGTGCGCGTGCCATTAACGAAGGGGGTTTCCAGAGTTTGCCCAGCAAACTGAGTTTCCCCGGTGGCTGTTTAATTGGCTGCAGCGCCGGCTTTCTCAACGTACCGCGTATCAAAGGCTCTCATTATGCCATGAAAAGCGGTAAATTCTGTGGTCTAGAGTAATTTTCAGGAGTTTCGATAAACTAAAGTTATTTCTTCATGCGCAGGAATGTTGGCGGCGGAGAGCGCTGTGGAGGCGATCAACAGCGAGTCACAAGCAACTGCTGGACTAGAGCCCAAATCCTATGCCAACAAGTAAGCTGCAACTTAATTTTTTTATTTGCTCGGTCTTTATTTGTATAAATATCCTTTTCTTACTCCGTTCAGAATTCAAAACTCCTTCATCTGGAAAGATCTGCGCGATGTGCGCAATGTGCGCCCCTCTTTCCACAACCCACTCGGCTTATATGGCGGTCTCGCTCTGAGCGGTTTCTCAATATTTTCGGGTGGTCGCGAACCGTGGACACTGCAACACGGTCCACCTGATCATGCATCGCTCAAACCAGCTAGTCAGTGCCCGCAAATTGTTTATCCCAAACCGGATGGCAAAATTTCTTTCGACCTACTCTCCTCCGTAGCCTTGACCGGCACTAATCATGAAGGCGACCAACCCGCACATTTGACTTTGAAAGACGATCGCATTCCGGTCGATCACAATCTGGCGGTCTATGAGGGTCCCGAACAACGTTTCTGCCCAGCCGGCGTGTATGAGTATGTGCCCAACGAGGAGGGTGGCAACATGAAGCTACAGATCAACGCACAAAACTGTATCCACTGCAAAACCTGTGATATTAAGGATCCTAAGCAAAACATTAACTGGGTGGTGCCTGAGGGTGGCGGTGGTCCAGCCTACAATGGCATGTAAAGTGTCGCGTGTGCCACCGTTGTTTTTATGTTGAAGCTAGCGATAAAGTCTATAGTCTGTTGTTGCATTTGATTTTAAGTTCAATTTTGGTTTAGAACCTACTTATATATCTACAGTGCCTGCGAAAACTATTACGTAACAAATATAGAGACAGGTTAATAGCCGATTTTAGCTAGTTTTATGTATTCTGTGTATAGACCGAGAAAAGTTGCAGAACTGAATTTTGAAATTGTAATATGAATGTAAGCAAAATTACCTTGTATACAATTAAATAAATAAAATATTTTTTATATAAAACTTAATATAAAAATTAAGAGAATATTTTTCACTTTAATATTTGTTTTTAAGCATAATTATAACGACATTTTGTGACAAAAAAAAATACCGTCGGATGGTTTAAGACAAAACAAAAATCGTTTTAGGGTTGCCACCAGTGTGCAAATTTAAAGTCCAAAAAATTGAAAAGATGAATTTATATTAAAAATTGAAAAAATTTAATTAAGATTATAATTGAAAAAAAAAATGGGAAAGATTGCCACCTGTTTAAGGTTTTTGATTGAATAAAATTGGTAAGATAAACGATTAACTGCAACATTGGTATCAAACTAAAGAAGTATAAAGAGTCGTTGTAAATATTTTTCAGGATGGTTGTCATATGCTGCAATTTTTTTATTTTCAAATTTATGATAATTCGATTTTCGTCTTTTCGAATATTCGAATCAGCTGTTTACTATTGTGACAAAACTTGCAAATTAATAAATTTGGTAACGTTTGATAATTTTGAAATACTGAATAAAGTCTACTAAAGTTTACAATGAGTTTCGCTATTTTAGCTTTTATTTTATGGTAAGAAATAAGTAACGAAAGAATTAAAAGGAAGATATTGAAAGATCGCAGTAATCCACTGGCTGCACCAGGGGAGTCGCATGTGAACTCTGGCTTGCATTTACTTGTATGTTTGTATACATGCTTACTTTACAGATTTATATCACATTATCGACTGAATAAAGACGCATTTGGATTTTAAATTACTTTTTATACGTTTTGTAAATCCTCTTAGAATATCTGAATTTTTCCCATAAACTCAATAATTATGACATTTTGTGTTTTATTCTTATGTTTTCCCCAATAGAAATAACGATAAATTAAATCGTAACAATAATATAACTTATTTTCTTAACTAACATTTCAAATCTATCAGCGAATATCTCTTGCTTTGTTTGACGGCTTTTACATTGGGACTCTTTTGACCCTCATATTTTTGAAATTCTCTTTTGGTGTCGCTCTGTGAAAAAAGTATTGAAAACCCCGAAATATGGTACAGATGAAAAAATAAAATTTTCAGATGAAAGCGCCTTCGCACAAATAAAGACCTAGAACTTTAGCATTTCGATATATTTACATTATGGACACACTTTTGATGCCTATGATGTCCATTATTAAAGAAAAATTTGGAAAAATAATTTATGTATTTTCGATACATATCGATTAATTTTATGAAAACTAGATTTGAATATCAACAAATAATTTATTTACATTCGATAAACATCGATTATTTTAAAAAACTAGATTTGAATATCAACAAATGATTTATTTTTTTATCGATATATGTATAGAATATAGAAAAATAATTACTATCGATAAGTATTGATTATACCATCACCCCTGATTTGTGAAAAAAAGCCTAAGTACACAAGTAATTATTTTTTTTTTAACTTTTTTTATTTATTGATCTTTGTTTTATTATCTTTTTTTTTTGCTTTAAAATAGATTTCCACACGCGTTTACAGTTTTACGCCATTTTTTAGCAATTAGTTATGTGTATATACAAACAGTTATGCCAATTAGAAGGAAGGGGGCAGTTAGTAGGGCACATTCAACATTTAACATTTTCATCGACATTTTCTTGATTTTCTTTGAGTGTGTGTGTCGGTGTATAATACAAAACATTTATGTCTGTCGTGCCGGTATATTTTCATTATTTATTTTATTTTATTTACCTTGCTCCATACATTTATTTTATTATAGCTATTTACCTTCTCTAAGGGTTAACATAACCTCACAGTTGAAAATCTCTCTAATGAAAGCGGTTTTGTTGCTATCTTAAACACTCAGCTGAGCATAATTCTTTACTAATTTATTTGTAACGGACGTTGCTCTGTAAGGTATGTTTTTGTGTGGCAGGCCACATGCCATTTTTGCAATCTATAAACAGTGATAACTTCAGCAAAGTCTCCATATACATATATGTATATATGCATATGCTTGTCGTGCGTGTAAATATATACTATATATATGTAAGTATGTATATTTATTTTTTTCTTACAAAGTTGTTTCTTAAGATATTATCAACAGTTGAACATTTAAGTAGGCGGCTGTATTAATTATTACTAATATTTTGTAATTATATTTTTAATTAAAAGTTCAGTTTTTTTTAAATTATTTTTGAATATTTTCATATTTTGTGCTTAATTAGTATTAATTTTTTAATTAGTTTAATTTTTTGCTTAATTTTTTGTTCAATTTCTTTTTTAATTTTTTTTAAATTTTTATTTACATTTCCATTTAAATTTTTATTTAAATTATATTTATTTCTACATTTTTTTCATACGCATATATATATTTCAATGTCTGTATGTATAACAATTTACACTATTTCCTCACTAGTTTTCCTTGTTTTGTCTTCTGTTTGTAAGTTTAAGTTTTAAAGCCTTTTTTTCACTGTTTGCTTATTATTACTATTTATCATTCTTATTGTTTTTATTATTTGTTTTTATTTTTATTTTTGTTTTTGTTTAATAAGTAGCACAGTTGTCACCTGCAATAAATTCCTTTTCACATTTCATTTTCAACGTCGCCTGGATGTCCTGTTTTGTATATTTTCAAAATTTCAGTTTTTATATTTGTGTAGACATAACTGTACATATTTACATACATATGTATGTTTAAACAGTTCCATTTAGATTTTTTTTTCTTATTTCATCCCCTATTTTTGTGTGCTTTTACTTTTGGTTTCGCATTTTTTTGCCTTTAAGGTTTCTTAATTTCGTTTTGTGTTAATTATTTTTTTGTTTTCAATACATTCACTGCTTTAGTTACATATATATATTTTTTTTAACATTTTTATTTTGTAAAAACGAGGCACTGTTCTTAAGGCAACTACAAAGTGGAGTTTTGAAAATAAAAGAGTGAAAACTCAAATTTTAAGTTGGAAATTTATTTTGAAGAATATTTTGGTATACTCAATGGGGGATAACCGAAAGGTTTTTATAGAAAAAGTTTAATCTCTCTTGTTGTTTTTTGAAAACAGAGAATCATCAGACTCATTTTCAATTACCATATTATACTTGGCTTAGCTAGCAGATTTAAAAACGAATTTATCGATTTCAAGTTATCGAGCTACACATCGTTAGAGGGCTTCTTCACGTTTAATTTTATACGTATACGAAAATTTGTAGAGTTCTCCCGTAGAAGAACGTAAATAGCGACGAAAACTGGCAGCAAATTGCTGCAATTGTTTAACATGTACTCACACTAAAAAAGGGACATGGACGCAGACTCTCTAGCCCTGGAGAATTCGAGTCAATAGAAGGTGAGCCAAACAGATTGATGCTGGCTACAAAATCGTAGGCATCCTTGGACGCAGGAAAAGTAGAAACCAACCAGCAATAGGGGAAGGGGAGAAATCCATGATAGAAAAGGGTGGGAGTATCATTTAGGATAACGATCCCTATATGGTGCGATCCCTGGACTGAATTTAAGGTTGTCATAAAATATAACTGCGATAAGCTTATCATTTTACTAGAAATAATGATGTTGGGATTTACACTGGGAATCATTTGCAATCTTCTGGTTATAGATTAAAATATTTTCCTTAAAATGTTTACAGCTCAAAGTAAATTGAAATTCATTGAGTTATGAGGAAACATTTCACAACTAGTTCTGAATAATGATGCTGAGGACTGTCAATTTCGGGATTACGATTTTGTAACTAAGGCTACAAAGGTCTCAATATCTGGTAACAATGTCGATTTTTTGGTATGAGAGTTTAGTGAGTATAATAGTGGTGGATCGAAGATGATACACATACTTGTATAACAAAAAATCGGAAACAAATAAATATATGGAATTCGGAATTTTTTTTTCCGGATAAATCGAGTATTTATAGGAACAACTAGTACCTCTAAGATATAGTTAAGAGAGATATTTTAAAGAAATATTTTTGTTTTTGTTTTAAAAGAAAAACCCTTCCGACTAACCCACATTGAGTAACCCTTTGAAATTATAACGGTGTTATAAAAAGAAAGGAAATTGGAAATTTTCTCTTGCAAATCATATAAAAAACATCGATGTTTCGATAATTTACAAAGTCTTATATACATACTTATGTATATACACAAATATATAGGTATATTTACATACATATATACATATAATATATATCTACATACCTACATATGTATGTACATATATATCTTATGTTAATATGTAAATTATGAGACTTTGTAAATTATGCGGATATGTTTTCTCAAACAAACAACAACAATAACACTTATTATACATATATTGTGTATATATAACTCACATACATATGTACATACATACTGGATGCTTTAATAGCAACAATAACACTGAATGAGCACAATAATCCTCATTATTTAATGATTTTCAACATCCATACAAACATACTTATGTACATGTACACATAGGTAGTATGCTTATATTTCTACATACATATACTAGTATGTGTGTGTGTGTGTGTGTAGTTGTAAATTAGTGTTATTATATACCATGTGCAGTACAATTTTATACATAAATTTGTCATCTTTCAAAAAATTTTACTAACTACTTCCCGTTAAATAACTTAGCTATATACACGCATGTACCTTATATACCCAACTACATATATATGTATGTACATGCGGCATAAGTACAATTTTCTTTAACTATGAACTATATAAACTATATATTTTTCTTCATTTTATTTACTTTTATATGTATATGTATGTGTGCGTGTGAGTGTGTGTGCAATGCCAATATTTTATATATGTTTAGTATATACTTTGAATATATATTTTCAACTTTAACTACTTGCTGTAAAATGTCTTTCTTTATTCATTTATAAAATGTGCGAAACCCTCGTGTAATTAATTTCATATGTTATCATCATTTATGTCATAATTTTAATTTTTCACCAATCACTGCAAACCATATGTTTGCCAATACATAAATATAATTCTGCTCGCCAAATGTTTTTTTTTTTGTATAAATATAACGACATAACAGTAAATTACGTCATTTTAGGTTAGGTTTCCTCAGGGGGGGAAATTGACATTTACAACAACGAACTTCACTTAAAATGTACCAAAGTTTTATCATGATGATAAAATATATGATTATATGATGGATGCTTTTTTATACATACTGTATATTTTTACGTATGCCAGCGTGGCCTGCAAGTCGGTGAGCTTAACAACTAAATGTTGAATGCAAGTCACTTAAACGGAAGAAACACTAGGATACAATTTAAAAACAAAAACAAGAAAAAATTTTAATTTCGGTTGCATCTAAGCTAGAATACCCTTCACAGATAGAAAAAAGTTTCAATACAAGAGCTCAATTTTGATCTGAACAATTTCATCGAAGATTGTATCTCTGCTCTGAGCAATAATTCATGCTAAGTTTCGTGAAGATATCTTGCTAAATAAAAAAGTTTTCCGTACAAGAATTCGATTCGGTCAGTTTGTATGAAGCTATATATAGTGGTTGATAGAAAGGATGTGTTCAAAATTTCAGATCGATATCTCTAAAACTGAGGGACTAGTTCGCCTATATACAGACAGATAGACAAAAATGGCTGAATTGACTCAAATTATCATGCTCATCATTTAGATATATATTTTATAGGGTCCTCGACTTTTCCTTCTGAGTGATACAAACTTCGTGGTTCGGAGTATAAAAATCAGAATGCATTCCTCAAAATGCATTAGGTTGTACATTTAAACCTAAACCCATTAATATGTACTGAAATATATAGACCAAATTTGCTGAAATATGATTCTCTTCCATGGTAAAACCAAATCAGTGGTCAGATTTTAAAAGCATTGGGTCATGTATACCAGATCTGACTACTCAAACTCATAAAACAAATAAAGCTCCAAGCGGTATATAGCGTATCGATCTAAGAGCTCAAAATTACCTAAATTATTGCTATCATTAGCTGTCTTGGGTTCGTCAAGCGTTACTCTTCAGCGAATCGAACAAACTATAAAAGATGGACAAACAAACTGGCGGCATTTATGGTGCCAACTCTGTGCTGACATTTCTTTTGCAAAGGAGAGATGGAGAAATTATTTTTTCGCTCTAAAAAACGTTGCTGTAAGCCTATATTTTTGTTTTCCATAAATTACTATAATTGATTTTAAATCTTAAGTTTCGAAAATACAAGAAAAAAAGGAATTCGTATTCTCTTTTGTCATTTGAGTCATTCACAATAGTAGAACGGATCTACAATATACAAAACAAAACTTGGTAGCATTGAAGATAGCGTCTATACACCTTTAATGAAGTATCCACAGAATCTCTTGAGCTCTAGGTCCAGCTAATACCATGAAGCAGTACATACATATGTATATGTAGTCCACCTAAATGGTAATAAACTTCAGATCGCAAGTAAAGAAAAAGTACAACCTTTTTTATTCAATAAATCGAATAATTGCTATTCTACCATAACCACGAATGATTGCATATAGTTAGTTTGACTGATAAAACTAAAAGCTTACAACATTTTGCTAAAGCCTTATACCATATTTTAGACTGTTTATTCGGATTTCTACAGAAACGATTTTTTGCTCAACTGAAATTTAGTTAATAAGTTTGACCGAATACAAGAGATATATTTAAATTACATTTTTCTTTCATAAGTATATTAAAAAAAACTTTCAATATTATTTGGCATTGAGCCTAAAAAGCTTTTAAGATGATATGGATAAACTTATTGGGATCCAGCTTTTATTCGAACAAACATGAAAGTTTTTATTTAGGTTTATTTCGAAAAACGGTAAAACATGTTTTACACATAAGTTTTTCTGAAAGCTTACGGTGTCGGGGATATAAAAAAGCTTTATGAATCATAATTAGAAGTTTGAATTATGCAGCAACCCACAATTAAGCTTACGATTTACTTCCTACTGTCAAATAAAATTGATATTCACGTATCGAAAGTATATTGTGGACAAACTGATTAGAGTGAGCTTTCATTTTTCAGCTTTGCCTAATGGTTTTTAATTTTGTTGCCACTCCCCTCACTCATATTGGTATTATGTAAACAGTGGCAAGATTTATTTAAGAGACGGTGACTTCAATAAAAGCTTTCATTTCAAGTGAAAGCTCTATTATTTTTAGACAGAAAAGTTACAATGCTCTGGCATTCATTAAATTATGGTTAAAGACAAAACTCGATACATTATGATATACATATTTAAAAACATTCATATATAATTGCAGAAAATTAAAAATGCTGGAATTTTTAGCTGCAATAGATTTTGTTAAAAACTTTTTAAGTTAATTCAAATAGAATATTATTAGTAAATCTTGAAAATGGAGTTTTCGGTGCCTTCTATTATAGAAAATATGTATTTGAACACAAACAAATCGAAGCTTTCACTATTTTAAAAAGCTTTTACTGTTTTGTCGTGAAATTTTTATTTTTGTTTTTTAAATGTGAAATGCTGCAACAAAACGTATTGAAAGCTTTGAACTTTCATTTCAAAGCCACGTTTTTACCCAAAATATCAATATATAGTAGTTTACATGCTTTAATTGCCCCACTTAACCAAATAATAAACGAAAACAATATGAATTAAAATAAATTTAATTGAAATTATTGCTTAAACTATAATATATTAAAAATCTATTACAATTGCGCAAATATTGTATGAAAAAGAAATAGAAAATCATTATGTTTTTGTTTTTTTATAATTTCATTAATATATATAAATGAAATGTCTATGCATGTGGGTATGTGTGTGTGTTTGTTGGTTTTTAATTAAAAATGTTGTGATTGACTTGCATGCAATTACGTATTTGGATTTACATATTTTACTTAGTAATTTATTTTAATCACTACATTTCACACAATTTATTGTAGTTTTTTCACTTTTCGCTTTTGTTTTTGTGTTTTTTCTTTGTTGTTTTTATAAAACTTAAATTAAAACATTAAAACTTAACATTTGCTTGCAACACACTGTCACATTCATATGTACTTGTATATGTATGTTTATTTTTTAACTGTCACACTGTTTTTGTTTTTATTTATTTATATGTTTGTATATTTGTAATAACAAGTTTTGTATGCAATACACCAAAGGCTTGCTTTTTTCTATACTTCTATCTTTCTAGTATTGTAAGTAAAACACTAACAGTGGGGCTTAAACTAGTGGCTTTTAGTTAGTTTAAAATTTAACAATTTGTTGTTGGTTTTTCTGTTTTATTTTCAGTTGATTTTTGTTTTGTTGTTGGTTTTTTCTTTTTATATGCATGCTTTGACGACCAGTTTTAGGCAGGTAGTTCAATAATTGGTGGAATTACCATGCGCGCGCAAAAGTATGCAACACTAGAGTAATGTCTGCAAGCTCAAGAGAGTTGATTTAAAAAAAAATTAGAACATTTGGATGAGGAATATTATTTTGTGATAATAAATAATAATTTATAATTTTTTGTATACAAAATAATAATTTTGTTAATAAATATGTTTGTTATTAAATTAAAGGAAAATATATGTAGATTTCTTTAGTACGAGTAATTCTTTACTTAAAGATTTGTTTGCAAACAAATTATAATGTATGTTAAATGTTGAATTAAAAAAATATAAATTTTCTAATTAAAAAAATTTTGTTTTCTAATAAATTAAAAAAAGAAATACTTCAAAAAATGTTTGTTAAAGAATATTTTTAAGTTAAGAAATTTTAACTTTAATTTTGAACAAGTTTTAAACACACATTACAAATTTTCTAATTAAAAAAAATTTTACCAATAATGTACCTTCAAAAGTTTTAGCGCTCGAAGGTACACTACATATTTTTCACCTTCCAGCTATACAACTCTGCTAAAATAATATCTAAGCCGGCTTACTAAAACGAAATTAGAAAATGGAAAGCACTGCATACTTTTCGGCTGTTGTGCTATTAATCTGCAAATTGTTTGGTATTTCGAGGTGTGCGCACACATGCATACTATACATTTTTTTAGTTTCTTGCAGTGCCACTCTGTTTTGTTGTCATCTAAGCACGCTCTACTTAAATGTTGCATACTTTTAGGCTAATAAACTACAATTCTGTAAGTTCGGGTACATATTTTATATGACATTTACTTGCGCAAACAAACTCTGACTTTTTTTCAACTAAATATGTTTATATATATATTGTTATATATATATATATATGTATGTAGATTAGGTGTAAGCAGCTGATAGCTTGCTCAGCCAGCTATTGTTATGTAGTGACTTAATGCAAATTTTTTTAGACTAAAATAACTTAACTAACATTTTCAAACATTCATATATAATTAATTATACTAAACTAAGTAAAATTATTTTTAATTTAAATTAAGTTTATTCCACTGCACCCATTTGTTTTTATTTTGCTTTTAAAATTTTTCAATTGATTCATTTTTGTTGTTGTTGTTTTTTTTTAACTCTTTTTAGGAGCAACATTGACTTATATTTACGATATGACACTTTAATGAATTCCTAATCCACTAGTTTCCCGGCCTGTCGAACGATTCGTGATGCCACCGCACACGACTTCGCTCGTACTTCGACTTCTCGCGCTACTAATCAGCCTATGGGCATACATATCTTAAACTTAAACTGGGAGTGTGATGTGTTGTTTTTATTTTGTTTGCTTAATATTTTTCATACTTGGGTTTTTTTTTTTGTTGAAATGAGAATTGTTGTTGTTGTTGTTGTTGTTGCTGTGATGTTTTTGTTAATTTCAACGGTTTGGTTGTTGTTGTTGTACATTTGTTGCTTACGAAAAAAGTGCATTCAATCTCAGCCTAGAAGAAATATCCACTTGAATCCTCTGCACCACGCAGTTCACGCATTTTCCGCTCTCGCGCTCCTCACTAGCAGCTCAGTAGTGGCGGCGCACTCATTTCGATATAATTGCATTGCCCGCACTGTGTGCGTGGCTCATGCCACTTATGCTCAAGTTTGAATGCGGCAGCGCGTGATGTTGCAGGTGGCTTGATGGTCCAGCGCCAGCGGTCACAGCCGTACCGGCAGTCACGTGACTGTAAGCATGCTGTGTCGGCTGTGTTGCATGAGCGCTGCCAGCGATGCTAGCAACACCACCATAAAGGCTACAATTAACGGCATTTAGGTAGTTTTCTTGCTGCTGCTGCTGTTGTAGTTGTTGTAGCTGTTGTTGCTGCTGCACAAGAGCACGTTGTTGCTGTTGTTGTTGCAAGTAATTGGCATATTTGCCGTGACGTGTCGCTGAATGTGAGCTAACGGCGCCACCACCACCATTGTTGTTGTTGTACGGGGTGCGCATGCCGCTGCATGTGGGCTTCAGCAGTGCGGGACTGTTGCTGTTGCTGTGATTGCTGTTACTATTGGCGCTGCTGTTGCTTGTGTTGCGCAGGTAAGGTGAGTTGGCGGCTGGTGGCAGCATTTGTTGCACGCCGCCGCAAGCAGCACCGCCAACACCGCAATGGTTGTTCGCGCCGTTGTGTTGTGACTGTTGTTGTTGATAATTTCTCAAGCTGGTTGTTGTTGCGCTAGTGTTTGCTGCGCTGCTGTTGCTACTACTATTGTTGTTAGTGTTGTTGTTATTGTTGTGGTTGTTGCTGCTGCTGCTGTGTGCTGCCACTTCTCGGGCCGGCTATTGTGGCCAACCGCCGGAGATGCGCGGCCGCTTGTGCGCCTGATTCGGTCCATCGTAATCATTAAGCTGTTGCTGTTGTTGTTGCTGTTGCGCCTGCTGATGCTGCTGTTGCGCCTGTTGATTAGCCGTTAGCCGTAAATCGGGCGATGGCACATTTGTGGGGGTAACCGAACCTGTATTAAAAATTATAAAGTCTGTTATTTCATTAGTTTGGGCTGTACAATGAGATGAATTGTGTGGCGCGGCAAGGCGGGCTGTGGCAAGGTGAGGCGAGGTGAGGTATGTGATGTGTAAGTTGGCTTATGGAACTATTTTGCTAATTCTTTTTTCTATATTTATGTATACCATACATATATGTATGTGAAAGCAGTGGGCGCGCGCATGCGTTGCAAAGCCTCCGCGAAGTTAACGTTGTTGTTTGTATGCGTCCATCAGTCGACGGTTGGCTCTCAGGCTGGCTGGTTAGTTGTTAGTGTTTCATGCTGTTTTCAGGCTGCTCGGCACACTCAACCGGCGAAGCAAAGCGCATGCGCGGCTGTTCATTGCTTCTTTTTTGCACATTCACACTTTTTCATGCTTTTTATTTTAATTTTCATTCCAAGAACACTTTTAATTTACGGTTATATACAGTTGCATTAAGTTTGTAGGTAAGTAATAGTTAGGTTTTTCATGCAATGAGTTGTTATTTTTGTATTTATTTTTCTTTTATATATGTAACATTAACACCAAGAAAGCAAAAAGAAAACGGTTACCCGGAAATAACAAAAATATGCGTTAACAGTATGGAGATTAGTAGATCCAAAGGCTTTATATGTGCCTAAAAGCAGTGACCCAAATAGAAACAGTGTGTTGAAATATTAATGAATCAGTTTTCAGTATTGCATGCGGGAGAAAATATTTAAAAAAAAACATAAGTTTTAAATAACTTAATAATTTCCATTTTACTTTTGGAATTTTAAAGTGAGTGAATTCCAAAAATAAAATAAATTGTTAAAAATTATTTTCGAAAAAAAAAAAATTTATATCTTGGTTAAAATAATAAAGTGTAAATGGTACAAATAATAAATAAAACAAGAAAAACTGTTGCTGTGATTGCTGGCTCTAAATTAGCTTTGGTTGCACCGAAGCTAGAAAACTCTTCACTACTACAAAAGATTCCATACAAGAACTTGATTTTGATTGGTCAGTTTGTATGGCAGCTATATCTAATATCAATATGTCAAATAATGTCAAATTTTGGAAATTGATTGTCAAATAAATTATATGGAAGCTATATGCTATAGTGATCCGATCTAAAAAAATTTCGTCGGATATTGTAGCGTTGCTTTGAGCAATAATTCATGTAAAATTTCGTAAAGATATCTTGTTAAATAAAAAAAGTTTTCCTCACAAGAACTTAATTTTGATCATTCAGATCATATGCCAGTTATATGTTATAGTGGTCCGATCTATAAAAAAATATTTGGACAATGTAGCGTTCTCTGAAAGAGAGCTTCTGATTTTCTGCCAAAATTTAGTAGATACAATTTATTTTCAAATATAGAGAGTATTTTGAAAGGTAAATTTGAGAGAATAATAGAGCTTTTGCAGAGCTTTCTGAACTTTGAAAATATTATATTAGAAATTTGAAATCAAACTGTTGAGGATAAATATGATTTTGGAATATAGAAAATGCTTTGTATGTTAAAGGTAAGAGAAAAGTTGAGCTTTGAGATCTTTGGCAAATGATACGTATAGCCGTTTGAAACAAAAATTAAAAAAAAACCAGCTTGTCGTTTTTGGAAAAAGACGAAGAATATGTAAAATGCCTAAAAAAACTCCATGAAAAATGGATTTGGAAATCCGAATTTTTCAATTAGAAATATACTTTTTAAATAGTTATTGTTCGTCATGAAGAACATATGTATACGACATAACGTTTGAAATTAAAAAAAAAATTTAATTTTTTAAAATCAAATCATTTGAAATCGAAATTTTTCAAAATAATTTTGAAACGTATTTTTAATACTGTAATATATTTTTATTCCCATAATCACAGTTTTTGAAGTTAGACACTTTTAAAAATAATTTTTTTTTTTTGTTTTCAAAAATATGGTAGCTTGGTAATGATAATTTTCAACCAAAAAAAACTACGATAAAAAAATTTTCGAAATCAAAATTGTTAAAAGTTTTGATTCTGGAAATTGAGAATATAAACTTGTATTATATTTTTTTATCAAACTTTCCAGTTATAAAGTTTTTTCAAAATAAAAGTTTTTAAACTTTGAACTTTTGAAATATAATTTTAACACTGTAATGTATTTTTTGATCCAACTTTCTAATTATAGCGGATTTTCCAAAGTAAAAGGCTTAAAAATTAAAATGTTTCAAAGTTGTGAAATTTAAATAGGATCAAAAATCCATGTCATATGGAAAGTAAAACAAAAAATAAAATAATAATAATAAAATTAGCGGTAGCCACGGAACTTTTACATCATTACATAAACAAATATTATATATAAATATAAATTTAGTGAAACATAAGCGATTTTTTGGTTAAAATAGTTAATTATACATATAATATATATAAGCAGACATGCGATAAGGTTAATAATTTTGGACACTAATAATAAATGGTTTATGTATGTATGTACATATGTGTATATGCAAGTATGTATGTGATAGACGGTAAAATATACCTCCATGATATACATAAAAATTTAATGAGTTTAGTAACCCAAATTATTTTAATATATACACATTAGCAAATATGGCGTTCTAGGACACACAGGAGACTAACTGTACATTTATACGTATAGATGTATGTGTATAATACAGGTTTAGATGAATAACTATATAATTGGGTACCAATTGAATTATATACAAAAGTATGGCCAGTGGGTAAACCATAAAGTGCGGAAAGGTGCTACCAGACTTGAGGAAAGTGGAAGAGAAACATAAAAAATTAACTAACTATAAACATATGAACAAAACACCTGGAAGATAGTAACCCACAATTGTGCGGTGGCAAATAGTGAGTAGAACAAGAGTGAGGGACATTATTTGTTTTTTTTTTTGTGTTTTTTGATATTGTGCGATAATGCCTTTATTAAATATGGTGCATGAAATATATTAATTCTATGAGAAATATGTATTAAAATGCATGTGTGAATGTAGATTCCCATGTAGGGAGGTATGTATGTATGTATGTGATGGTTTGTATGAATATATTCGCTGTATTAACAGTTACTATTTTGTTGGCCATATTACCGGCAAAATTCCATACTCTAGAATTCGCACCCAGCTGTGAGCGGTATTGATATCCTTCATATTTATCTAGCACTGCGGATGGGTATTAATATTTTCGGTATATTAATAAGTTTTTTGTTTTTTAATTTTTTGTACAACCGCATAATGTAAAGAGAAAGAGAAAAATATAACAAATGAAATAGTAACAAAAAATTACAAAAATATTTATTTCAAGAGGGTATAGGGATGTATACTATAATGGAGAGTGTAAGATATGTGGTTATGGAAGCTTTTTAGGCGCTAACACGCTTTGACGGAGCTGATTCTTTGCATTGCCTTTGGGTACGCTGGTGCGTATGAGTAACATTTATATTCATAGCAATCGCTGGCTGCGATAATGTTGTTGTTTTTGTTATCGTGTAAACATGTTGCGACAAGTTAAGGTATTTACCACAAAATACTTAATATGGATATATGCATATATGATATATTATATGTTAATGCATGAATTTATTACTTTTATTTAAATGTTACTCATACGCACTGTTGGCCAACACAACCTATGCACAGGCTACACTGCTGAAATAACTAACACTGTATTTCTAAATTTAACTAAAATTACTGCATATTATATACTTCCTCAACTAATTTCATTTCAAAATTTTGTTTTTCAAGAATTCCTTCGCTTAAAATGACATTTCTAACAAATTTGGTTCGTTTATTAAAAAAAATAAATAGTAATCATGTTTTAGTGTTTGTATTAATTATAATTACTTATAATTACATTGGATAAAAAATGGAAAAACGTTAATACGCATTTGATAAAGGAAAAACTCTATGTAAAAGACAACTATTTTTAGCTAAAAACTGGCATGCTGCCGCAAATGCAATGCGCTTACGCGGTTATTTGTTGTTGTTTTGTTTTATTTGGTAATATTAAGTAAAAAACTATATCGCTATTGTTATGCAAACATATGTACGCAGGCGCACAACAGCATTTAAGTAAGTAAAAGAACAAATTTTCTATGATACAATAACAAGAACAAGAGTGAACTGCTATTCATTTTATAAAAAAAAAAGAATTATTAATAAAAATTTTAAAAATTTAAAAAATTAAATAAAGGGTTAAAGTTTCAAAAAAAATTTTTTTTAACTAAAAAAATATTAAAAATTAATAAAATATCTATTGTTAAATATTTTTGTTATTTAGGTAGAAAAATACGTCAACTAGCATCACTTAGTAGTAAATAGAGCATTTAGCACGCATTAAAACTCGCCAAATTTTTTTTGCGTAAATAAAATGAGATTCAGAAAAATTTTAAAATTTGCTTTGCGCTTACCTCCTTGCGTTGGCGTTAAATGTCCCGTGGAAGAGGGCCTTGAGCCGCCCATCACCAGATGTTGTTGCGGATGACTTAGTACACTCAGATTGGCAGCCTGCTCGGACGCCGAATTGACGCCACCGCTGCCGCCCGCTATCACCGCCGTCGCATTCATATTGGCAAGCGCGAGTGCATTGGCGGTGGAGACGTTGTTGGATGAACCGCCGCCACCACCACCACCGCTACCGCTGCTGCCCGCTGAACCGTTGCTGTTCTGCTGATGATGGCAACCGGAGAGATCGCGTGGCGGTGATTGTGGCTCGGATTTGACTTTGATCGAGACGGGTGAGGTGGCAGGCGGTGGTGTGCTATTCGGTACGGCCAAATGGGGGAGTCTGTACGGGAGAAAATAGAGTGAGAGTCAGAAAAATATGCATATAGTGGTATATTGAAATTTTCATGTAAAAGTTTAAAAATCTAAGCTTAATCTCCAAGATTTTCCTTATTTTTTTAAGTATGAATATGTGAGGACAGCGGATAAAACCGTTACTTTTAAGTAACAGTTTTCAAAAATGAGAACCCAAGATTGTCAAATTCTATAATTAAAGAGGTGTCCCCTTAATTGGACCCCTTAATTGGAGTTTTATTTCGTGTCAGCGAACGCAGAAATAGTTGATCAATATCTTTGGCAAATTGAATCATGCAAACAACTATACGGAGTTGCTATTCCAGAGTTGCGATTTTATAAATTGATAAGTTCCCGTAGCCTCCGGTCTTACGACTATCGACCTACTGTCGAAGAGAGCTTACATTCTTAATATATTCGAGTTAGTTCAAGCTTCGCATCGTTGTTTCAACGTATATTGTTCGCAGAGAGGATAGCAAAAAGCTTTAAGTACTCCTAGCTAAAAAATGTTTACCAAAACCGGCTGGGCTCCTTAAGTCTGAACAAAGAATGTCCTTAAACTCACTTTCTGAAAGACATCCGGAAATCCTATAGCCGCCGTAATGCATTTTAATGTCCTAGACTAAAAAAAAAACATTGACCTACATAATATCTCATAAATTTGACTAGACTAAACTAAAATTTACTACACTACTCGACAACAAAAGCACTTTCTGCGCTTATCACCTTAAAAAAATAATTAAAAATTTCTCAATTTACTCACCCCGAATGCTGTACGAGTCCCTGATGTGTGGTCCATGGCTGTAAACTCATAACATCGGAGGAACTCATAGAGAAATCTTGCGGCCCAAATGTGTAGCCCGACATATTGGGTATGGGCGTTTGCAGCGTCACCACGGGCGTATTGAGTGATGCCTGATTGTGTCGCTGCTGTTTGGGTAAACCAAAAAGAAAGCAAAGTTATATTTAAAATAAAAGAGAAACTCAATTACAACTACTCACATCGCCGTAGCTAATCTCATCTGCAGCTGACATATTTTGAGCAAGTGGTGTTGGTAAGACGAGGCGTAGATTGGAAGCGCGTCCATTTTGGCCGCCCGGTGACTGTTGCTTGTGTGACAGGTGGTGAGCTATAAATTTGGGGTTAGAAGTGTCATTTTAGAATTTTACACGTCAAATACAAGTGACACAAAATGTAGTTGTAAGCACAACGGAGTGGTTAGTTGGTGAATTTGAGGTGAGGTGAAGGTCAGTATACAATTTAACGGTTAATAAAGCAACACACTATGCTGAGGAGAGTGAAAATGTGTACCTAGAATCAAGCATGAGTTATGTAGTGCTGTTGCTGTTAGTGTTTTTGGACAATACTTGTATATGAAGAAATTCACCACACGTAATACTAAACACATAAAAAGGTATATATGTATGTTATAATTTGCAGTTATATACATGTATGTACGCACAGGAAGGCATGCTTCGGTACCTAACCTTAAAATTATATTAAAAATGTGACATTAATTGTTGTTAGTAGTATTTATTAATGTTTGCTGATAATATTTTTTATGTAAGGAAATGTTAGTATGATGTTAATGGGCACTATGATGTATAATCTTTACTTTGTTTTTGTATAATTTTTTTAATTTTAAGCAATTTTATTTGACGCCCACCTAAACCTGGACTCGGTCCTGGACTGGGCGAACCACCAAGCGGCGAATGTGAATGCGGATAACCGTTTGACATCTCCAACATGGAACCCGATGGATAAACTGTGTGTTTGTTGTTGTTTTATTGTTGTATAAGTTATATATATATGCAGTGGCGTTTTATCGTTCGATGGACACCATAAACACACACACACACAGTCATATATAAATATATATATATATTTTTTTTTTGATATATTGGTGAGTTAATTTTTTTGGTTGTTTGATGGTTTGTGGTTGTGGTAAATGAAAAGAAAAGAGAAAGAGAAAAAATTTCGTTTTGCATTGCTTTAGAGTAAAACATAAAAAAATATATGTATAATAGATATAGTTTCTTTCGAGTTTCCTTATTTTTTTTTTTTTGAATATTTCTTGAAAGAACTCAAACTCGTAACGGTGCGTGCAATAAAATGAACGAAATGAAATCAACTAAATGCATATAACGAAAACTATAAGCATAAATAAAGCAAATTAAATAAAAAAATTATTAAATAAAAAAAATACAAAAAAAAAGTTTAATAAATACCAAATAATAGTTTCAAATAGAAAGTAATAAAATTAATAAAACTTTTTTAAAACATAAAATTTACAAGATTATTTTTCTATTGCAAATTTTTTTTTTTAGGTTGCAGGCTAACTGATTAGATGAGCATAAAACTGATGACTATAGAATTCATACACCATATACTATACAGCACGTGCCAAAAACATATAAATGTATGATATACAATTCTGCGCCTAAAATAAAGATCATTAGACAAAAATCGAGTTAACTTTTAAATAGATTCGTTGGTATAAACAAAAAGCATTGATACAACAACCTTTTTTAATCCACTTTTATAAAGGACGAACAATTTTAAAATTACAGTCACGTGCAAAATATTAGGAATACCGGTTAAGATATGAATATATGTGCGGATCGGACGAACAAAAAGTGAACGTAGGACGTATAAAATTAACAGCAAAGTGCAAAAAGTTGAAATCCTGAAGTAAAAATTATATATCCTTAATATACCATATTATTTTATACATATTTTTCTTTTTGAGGTCTAAATCTTAAAATTTTTAAAGTTATTCAGGCACATATTGTGTAAAATCAAATTACTAGCAATTTTCTAAAGAATGAACCTAATGAAAAATACCACAAAAAAATTTGAACATAATTTCTTTTAAACTATAATATTACCCTTCAAACTGGGTTGAAGATGTCGCGTCAAATTAAAAAGTTTTCCATGCAAGAAATTGATTTTGATGGGTCAGTTTGTATAGTAGTTATATGCTATAATAGTCCGACATCGGCGGTTCTAAAGAAACAGAGAGACTAGTTCGCGTATATACAAACAAACGGACGGACAGACATACGGACATGACTAAATCCACTCAGCTCGTTACGCTGATCATTTTTATACCGGTTTTATAAAAAGATCGACTTTTTATGAAACCAACTTGTCGTATATCTCAAATATGGTCGGCTCTGGAACTCTTGAAAAATTACTTTTTCAGTAGGTCTTCTTCTTCTAAGAGATATTTTTGTCGATTCTTCAGAAAAAGATATAATAGTTCCTTAGAAGTTGAAGAAAGGAGTTCAGATATCAGTTAGTTCCAAAACTAATTTATTTAGTGAGCGTTAATGAATTTTTTTCTGGGGATATAGCTGTCAAATATACTTGTAATGTATACAAACTGGGGATCAGGCAAGTCGAAACTGTTGAACGTACCAAAAATAAAATATAATATTTTAATACTCTTAAAGATGTGCTGACTTCTTGGTTATCATCAACGAAGAGATCGTAGAAATTTTAGAGCTGACTTTTCAATAGTAAAAAGGTTAACTGGACTAGATTTTAAAATTTTTAAGATTTGCTAGGACCTAGGATAATCATAAACTAAAGCGCAATACCAAAGAGTGTTCAAAAATTCTCTAATTTTCGTGTACAGCTGAAAACTTTAAAAGCTATCAGGTGTGAGGAAGAATAATATGAAGCCTATGAAAAAAATTTAAGTAGCCGCAAAAACGTGCTCAGTTTAAACCAAGAAACGATTGAAAAATAAAACAAGAACAATGAAAACGAAATTACAACAAATAAAGAAACTGAAAAATAGAAAAAAATAGCAATCAAACGCAACAAACAACATTGTCAACACAATCGAGCAAAATGCAGGCAAACAAACAAAGCGATAAATTCTTTTGCGCGCAGATAAAATAAGAAAAACAAAAACTCTTGCAAAATGGCGAAATTGAAAGTATAAAGCAAAATAAAAATATGAATAACTAAAAGCAGACATAACAACAAACTTAATGCAACACAACAACAACGAACAAATACAATCCAAAAGAAAGCAAAAATGAATAAAAATAAAAAATAAAAAGAGAGAACAAGAAAATAACGATCAACTGAACACAACGATAAGTGAAGAAAATGGTGGTGTGTGCGCCGCGACACTACTCCGTACTAACTTATTAAGGACATCCCACCTGAGTCGGTCTCTGAGCTTGACGGCCGTGGACTTATATTTGTGTGGGACATTTGTGGGCTCGCCTGCAGCATGGCGTCACCATAAGCGCCCGGCACCGGCACCGATACCGGCAGTGTGTAATTCGTATTACCAAGATTGCGACCGGATGCGCTTGCTCCACCCATTTGAGTGCGTTGAATCATCAGCTGAAAGTCTTCGTCGATCTTATTATATTTGGCTTCAGTGCGGGGGGTGAGTGTGAAATCGGCTTCCTGTTCGGGTGAATCTGGGGACATGACGCCATTTTTATTCTCCTTCTGCAAGTACAAAAAAGATGAGGTAAGGTAAAATTATTAGTCTAACCAAGTTTTTTTTATCAATATAAAAGGGGATTTGTAATTTAATGAATCTATAATGCTTTACAGGATCTTAATAGACCTCGCTCGATGCATAAAATATGAAAAATTATATTAAAAAAACTTTCGACTCAAGCTCAAGGTTATCACACAACTGTCTTCTGGAGGCGACTTTTCTAAGGGGTTAAAGTTGCTCAAAGATCGCGTGAAATGAATTAGGTTTAAAGCCCTGGGTATGTAAAGCAGGTGTGCTTCCGAGCGATGCATAATGCTAAACGACCTGCGGTCTCCAAGGCTTTTAGACTTCGACGGACTTTTGATCCTTTCCTTGACACGGACCTTGGCTAGGACTGAGCTGCGCTAAGGAACTTTCTACATGACAACTCTTTCAGGACTGAAAGACTATGGTATGCTGGAAGACTCGATTTAAAAAAAGATGGATGAAAATGCTCTAAAAAATAACGAGAGAAACTGGGAAAATTTGGAGTAGAACCGGGTTGTATTTTCGACGAAGAATATTATCTATAGTAGTTATATGAATACGATGCCTCACCTAGTACGGAAGACAGTTGAAATTCGGTAACCGAAATTCGGGTTACTTCAAGGTTGTTGCACCGTCTAATTAAAAACATAAAAAAGTATATTGTGTTTACATTTTTCACAGCATCAGCTTTATATTGCTATCTCGTGTGCGCTTACAGGCGTCAGCTGCAACTCCTGTTTTTCTCCCACAACACAAAGTGCAAGTGTCGAAACGCGTTAATTTCGTGAGCGATAAATGTAAAATTATGTAAATATGTCGTGAATTAACATTATAAAAAGAAAAGCGCGACACAAAGCATAGAAATAATAAATTCGAGAGCAAAGTATGAATGAGCGCAGCTTCGAAGTGGAGGAAGCGCTATAAGACAAAGGTAGACAAGGTGAATATGTTTGAAAGGTGGAAGGTAGAGTTCTATAGCATCTTACTCGTATATGCATATGTTTGTTTATGTGTTAATATAGCTATATGTTTATAAGTGAGGCAAGGCGAAAGGTGGCAAAGGCACATCGAAAGTGCGCAGCGTGTCAACAAGATGCCAAAACATTGATAATATAAACAACTGACGACTCAGGTGTCTCGTCGATATGTGTGAACATGAATGAGACGGGAGGAAAGTAAAGAAAAGTAAACAATGAAATCGCGGAACGATGTTTTGGCTGCCGATATTGAAAATTTTACGGTTAACTACTTACATACATATGGTGTATTTACTTTTATGATAAAGTCATCTAAGCTGTAGAAAATACCAAAAAGTTGAATTTTAGACATTTCATGTCAAATAAATTATATGGTAGTTATATTTAACCTTTTTCGATTTTATATTGATTTTTGGCCATTGAATAAATTTAAGCTAAACATTTTTTAATCCCAAAAATTCCGTTCTCGTAATCCCGACATCTACATTAAAAATTTTACTAATAAAATATAAAAAAAATTAATTTTACTAATAAAAAAATTAAATAAATTTGAACATACAATTATTAATAAATTTAAAATAAACATTTTTTTAATCACGTAAATCCCGATTTTGTATATTAAAAAGTTTTACTTATAAATGAATAAAAATTTTCTTACTAGTCTTTAAATTATTCAAAAAACGAAGTTTTTTGGTGTCTCCAAAAATACCGATTTTGCAATCCCGGCATCTATATTACAAACATTTACTTATAAATAAATTTAAAAAAAGCTACAACAATTATTTTCGAATACATTTTAGTTTAAATTTTTTTAATCCGATAAATCCCGATTTTGCAATCCCGAAATTTCGGAACCGAAACATTTCGGTATTGAATAACTTCTTAAAAAAATAAAATATAAGGCACAACAAGTAATTATGCGACGTCATTTACACTCAATTAATTCTGCATAATTTGATGCATCGGTTGAGCGATGCGTAAAAGCGCTGTTGGCTTTGTTGTTTTAAGTAAATATGTATGTCAATAGAAATGTGTGTATCGACATAACAACCAGTTAGCGGTTTATTGCGCTCGAGTTCACACGCCGCTAATGTTTGCTTGCTGTTTTCCTATTTTTTTCCTTTTCTCTTTATACGCCATAGCCTACATTCAGGCATCTGATTTAACTAGCTTTACTTTTTCTATTGGCACAATGCTACTTAATGTAAGCAACAGGAGTTGATAGCTTTGACAAGCGGCGGCAAAAATGGATGTGTATGGAAATAAGTATAATAAAAGGGAAGATAATAAGAGGAATAAATAAAAATAATTTGTTGAGCATGTTTGTGAGTAATGTAACGGTTAAAATACCGAAACCTATACTTTTGGTCCAAAAAGTCTTATTCATCGATTCACTTATTAGCCAGAGATAACTGACGAAATCGGAACTTTGCAATACGGATAACGAACAGGTGTCTTTTAATTTCACCCATATGTGATTCACACATTTTTTTTTATTTTATTGTAGAATCCAAACTTTCAGACACTCGCTAGAAACAGAACAAACTTTAAAGAACTTTAAGCGATACGTGCTATATAACTCCATACAGCATCGGCTTTAGCAACGACAACGACCAACAACACGAGTAAAGTCGGCAGCAATTGTACACCAAATTTAGGTCTGGCGTTTCCAAGTTGTCATTCTTTATTTGAGTGAATCCATACTTATATCCAGTCTTGAAAGACCCAAATTACTCCAAATGACGCGAAATTTTCAAGTAATCCTTCCTGATCCTCCTCTGTACTGATATGAACACTGAATTGATCTCAAAACCATCCTCAGAGAATGTATGGATTATAGGCTTTAAGTCTACATGTAAAACCGATTTCCAGAAAATAATTAAGAAATTCTCAACCGCTTTACACAGAGCACTTGTTACGAATTTTTTTCGAGATCCACGTATGTGAAGTTATATAGTTATGCTCTCTACTTGTGATAGAGGATTGGAGTTTCCTCTATAAATTTTAATTGCCAGATATGTGGCTCTAGCTGTTGACTTGTATCTAAAACTATATATTTTTTTCTCTCTGCTGCATATATACCACATATAAAAGTACACACATATGTCCAAACGGTGGCGCTGCTGCTATATTTAAATATCGTATTGCCTTGTTAGTTAACCTTATATGAAATATGAAATATTTTGATCTATAATTACGTTTTAATATATTAAAATATATTTTAGAGTTTACTTTCCAGTTTCTTTTCAATACATGTATATATTGAGAGGGTCTTTTTTTAACCTATGGCAATCCTAGGTACACCACAAATTATTGCAAATTACTTGTTATTATTATTCTTGTAAAATTTGTTTGTTTATATATTTCCGACTTACCTCAATTATATTCTTATTCGTGAGTGACTCGTGTGGCTCATTATATTCAGTATATTTGAGCAGGACCTTGTCCATATCAGTGCTAGCGTATTGATATAATTTATTACTGGATGAGAAGATAATAAGCGCAATTTCACAATCACACAAAACCGACAACTCGTAGGCCTTCTTCATGACGCCGAATTTGCGTTTGTTGAATGTAACCTGTGGAGGGTGGAAACGGAGAAATTATTAATATAATATTATAAATAGTCGAGGAATTGAGACAAAAAAAAAAAATAATACAAATCATAATAACAAAAAAATTCAAAAATATTCTTCTCAAATTTTATGAATTTTGTTAAAATCTATTTAAAGTATATACTCGTATATTGTTGCATGTATGTATTCAATATTAAGTGCATATATATCGTTGAACGACGGCTATTATAAACAATAAAATGGCTATAATAATTTACGTACATTTATATTGAGCACAGAAAACTTAGTTTATATGCATCTAAGGCATTGTCCGTCGACGAGAAGTCCTAGCCTTGGTTTCCAATTAATCGATTTTTATCGCATACTTCTAAGTTCAATGCAAGGATATGAGACACTGGCGCAGACAGACAATGCACACACAGTTCAGAATGCAGTTTTTGTAAAAGACAATAACACACACATATACTTAGAAACCTATATAGACACTATAGCTTAGTGTGTGGGTTAGTTCTGCTGCCGTACTGAGCGTTGAGGAATATGAGCGCCTTCGAAAGCCGAAGGCATATGCCAAGAGACAGCACTTTCAGTGGGTTTAGTAGCTATAAAGTTGCTTATATGCTGCACGTATTAGACAGACTGTCTCTCAAGACGATATTCAATATAATATTGAGTGTGAGAGCCTATATTCATACGTTTTAGGGATGTCCTTAAATTTAGAGTAATTAATATTTGGAAAAATAAGTTTTTTAATGCTTTATAATCACAACTGACGAAATTGAAAATTAGTGATTCACATAACGAAGACAGCAATCGATACAAAGTACGTGAAGTATCGGGCTCAGTGAATTTGATAGGAAAATGAAAAAAAAAAAAAATTAATAACTGAAGTTCTCTAAAACCTCCATGACCACAGATAGGTAATGAGCGGCCAATCGATCGAAGAAGAACACTGTAGATTTCTCACAGTGCGAAATCTATGGCTGTGGAACGATGGCATGGCCGCTCAGATAACCCGTATGCGTATGGTTCGAATTTTTTATAAGGGAGAATCCGTTTTCGGAAGGCTTTTCAATATTAAATGAATCATAATATGTATGTTCATATTTCACCTAAGAATATCAGTCAAATTAATTTTGTACACCCGAATTGCGAACATTCCTAATATTAATTTCCATACAAGCGGATATCCTTCCGGTAGTGAAATTACAGCCTGTCCACAGTTGCATACACAGCTCGTTTGCAATTTAATTGTCACTTATTATTTTCTAATTAGACGATGATTAAATTTGCAACAGTCTTATTAAAATACAAGAAATGCTGAGTTGAATGAATGAATAATGGAGCGCTGATTAAGAAGGTCGAAATAAGAGATATATGATGCGCACAAGGGTGGATGGAAGTCAAAATGCTTTTCCTTTGGCTGAGTGTGCGCTTAGAGGATGGTGGATATAGGCGTGATTGTAGTCCGATTTAGTCCATTTTCGCACTATGACATAGAAATATGAAAAGAACGTTATTCACCGTGCTACAGAATATGTATAATAGTTTTGTTCACCTAAAGGTTGTTTGTATCACCTAAAACTAATCGAGTTAGATATAGGGTTATATATATATAAATGATCAGGATGAAGAGACAAGTTTAAATCCGGGTGACTGTCTGTCCGTCTGTCCGTCCGTCCGCGCAAGCTGTAACTTGAGTAAAAATTGAGATATCTTTATGAAATTTGGTAGACATGTTTCTTACTGTCACGCCCACAAAACGCTATTAATCAAAAACAAACAAATTGCCATAACTAAGCTCCGCAATAAGATACAAGACTGTTATTTGGTACACATGATCACATTAGGGAGGGGATCTGCAGTTAAAATTTTTTTCGCCAGAGACATTTAATTTTATTTCTGGGATGGTATGAGATGACTTTATAGGAACCGTGTTCAAAATTAGACAGTGGGCGTGGCACAGCCCACTTTTAGGTGAAAACCCATAACTTGGGATCTGCTTAATCGATTTCAACTAAATTCGGTGCATAATGTTCTTTTAATATTTCTATGTCATAGTGCGAAAATGGGCTAAATCAGACTACAACCACGCCTATTTCCCATATAACACCATTTTCAATATCATCTGATTCTTTTACTTTCCACTATGCATATCAAGCAACAATGATTATATCGGGGTAAAACTTTGCGTGAATAATACGTTTAATGTATGCCACTTTGTGACCAAAAATTGTCTAAATCGAACCAAAACTGTTCAAGCCCCTAAGTACGAAATATGTGGACCCCAGTTGACCTTCTACCGAAAATATCAGTCAATCCACAAAGAAATCTCAAACGAGTATACCATTTAACTTTGCGAGAGTATAAAATGTTCGGTTACATCCGAACTTAGCCCTTCCTTACTTGTTTTTTATTTATTTTTGTCATTTAATATTTTTAGTTTCAAAGAGATTTTTATAAAATAAAAAAATATATATTTGAATAATAAATTTTTTTTTGTGAATCGTTTTTAATAAATATTTAGCATTTTTTAAAATAAATTTTTTTATAAATATTTCGAATTGTTTAATAATTATACTCTCGCAACCTGTTGCTACAGAGTATAATAGTTTTGTTCACCTAACGGTTGTTTGTATCACCTAAAACTAATCGAGTTAGATATAGGGTTATATATATATAAATGATCAGGATGAAGAGACGAGTTGAAATCCGGGTGACTGTCTGTCCGTCCGTCCGTCTTTCCGTCCGTCCGTGCAAGCTCTAACTTGAGTAAAAATTGAGATATCTTTATGAAACTTGGTAGACATGTTTCATGGTACCGTGAGACGGTTGGTATTGCAGATGGGCGTAATCGGACCACTGCCACGCCCACAAAACGCCATTAATCAAAAACAAATAACTTGCCATAACTAAGCTCCGCTATAAGATACAAGACTGTTATTTGGTACACAGGATCACATTAGGGAGGGGCATCTGCAGTGTTTTTAAAAAGTGGGCGTGGTCCCGCCTCTAATAGGTTTAATGTGCATATCTCCTAAACCGCTAATGCTATAATAACAAAATTCACTGGAAGCAAATGTTTTTAGCACTTCTATTGACGGTGTGAAAATAGTTGAAATCGGGTGGCAACTCCGCCCACTTCCCATATAACGGTACTGTTAAAAACTACTAAAAGCGCGATAAATCAAGCACTAAACACGCCAGAGACATTAAATTTTATCTCTGAGATGGTATAAGATGACTTTATAGGAACCGCGTTCAAAATTAGACAGTGGGCGTGGCACAGCCCACTTTTAGGTGAAAACCCATATCTTGAGATCTGCTTAACCGATTTCAACCAAATTCGGTGCATAACGTTCTTTTCATGTTTCTATGTCACAGTGCAAAAATGGGCGAAATCGGACTACAACCACGCCTACTTTCCATATAACACCATTTTAAATTCCATCTGATTATTTCACTTTCCACTATGCAAATCAGGCAACAATGACTGTATCGGGATAAAACTTTGCGTGAATAATGCGATTAAAGTATGCCACCTTGTGGCCAAAAATTGTCTAAATCGAACCAAAACTGTTTAAGCCCCTAAGTACTAAATATGTGGACCCCAGTGCCTATAGTTGACCTTCTACCGAAAATATCAGCCAATCCACAAAGAAATCTCAAACGAGTATACTATTTGACTTTGCGAGAGTATAAAATGTTCGGTTACATCCGAACTTAGCCCTTCCTTACTTGTTTCT